CCGATCTTCTTCAGACTAAAGAGAAGGGCAAGAAAGAGAAGCCCCTTCTCTTTAAATGCCCTCTACATGAAACAGAGAGAAACATTCCGTATTGATCCTTTACGGGGCCATTGCTGTCTGGTAAAACAGAGGTGATAAGCTGGATCTTCCTAACATGACCAGAAAGATAATTTCTTCTGATGTTTTTAGCCTTCTCCTTTTAAACTGTGTTACTCAGGACAAAAAGAAAGGGTTTCCTGAAAAAAGAGTGTGTCAGCCCAAGGAGGCCTCCTGCCTTACCTGGTAGGTCAGCTCCTTCACCCTCCTCTCGTACTTGCGCACACCCTTCACGGCTTCAGCACTGCGCTTCTGCTCAGCATCAACCTCCCCCTCCAACTCCCGCACCTGCAATGAGAAGCCCGTCTTTGGAGCTTCCCCGGTACCTCTGCAAGGGACGTGCTCACTCACATGCACAAATACCAGCCCTACGCACTCTGGCCTCCAGCTTCTGGATTTGCTTCTTGCCTCCCTTCAGAGCCAACTGTTCGGCTTCGTCCAGACGGTGCTGCAGGTCCTTCACCGTCTGGTCCAGGTTCCTCTTCATCCTCTCCAGGTGGGCGCTGGTGTCCTGCTCCTTCTTCAACTCTTCTGCCATCATGGCTGCCTGGAGAGAGCAAGGGGCCAAAGCCATTTTGGGGCTGGAGGCAGTTTGGGGGAGAATACATCCACCATCAGCAGCGAAAGGAGCCCCCGACTCACATCTGTGATGGCCTTCTTGGCCTTCTCTTCAGCATTGCGGGCTTCCTGGATCGTATCTTCCATCTCACTCTGAATTTGGGCAATGTCTGTTTCCAGCTTCTTCTTGGTGTTGATCAAGCTGGTGTTCTGTTGAACAGCATCAGAGGTTTGTTTTTGTTAGCTCATGATTTCAAATCAAGAACATTACAGGATTTTTAATAATTTCAGACACAGTTATGTGAAAAATTGATACTACAGATTTTTTTGTAAAAATTTCTTATGATTGGGGAACAGTGTTGTTTTTTCTCCAACAATTAATTTTATTAATTTGAAAAAGAGTAATTAGAAATATAATCTCTGCCACATCTCATCCACCAATGCTGTAATAAAAATACAGTGACGGAAGTCAGCGAAATAGTGAGTGAGGGAATCAGGAATACGATGAAATACCTTCTCTTCAACATAATTAGGGAAGAGTAATCCACTCGCATCAGCTGAAAAGAGAAAAATTTGTAGATTTCAGCACTTGACTGCTGGATGACTGCTATGACATGTAGCTCATGCTCGACACGGGCTGCATCAGAGCCAGGAGTTCCTTCGCACTTTCTTGCTAGAGTGGACAAGCACATTTTTTAAGGAATGTGAGGATTCCCTAGTGCTACATTTCAACAGAGAAAGGAATGAATATTGCTGTAGACTCAGAGTTTCAAGTCTCTGACTGCTCAGGTGGCAGACCATTTGGCATGTATCACTAAAAAGTCTGGTCCCTGTAACTAAGTGTCTTTCCTCTGGAGATTATATTAGGATGCAAAGAAGGTAGAAGCATGGGTTTCATCGAATGCAACCTGGGAACACAAACAGTGTACACACCTTCTCAGCAAAAATGGCTTTTAGTATCATGATGATTACTTCAGAAAAGGTAATTCTCATCTTCAAAGTTGAGCCTCTAATGGTGACTGGAATAAAGTATGCAAGTGTTCTAATTACCAAGCGTGCCATTTCTCACCAAGTGACCTCACCTGTGTATGGAGGAGCTGCACACGCTCACTTGCATCCATCAGTTCCTGTTCAGCCACCTTTCTACACCTCTCTGTTTGTTCTAGTGCTGCCCGTAGCTCCTCAATTTCAGCCTGCAGCAGGTTTGCTCTGCGCTCCACCATGGCCACCTGCTCCTTCAGGTCCTCCTGTGTCCTGAGAGCATCGTCCAAATGTATCTGGGTATCCTGTAGAGCCATTGAAAGAAATTATAAGCAGATTCAGAGCTGTGTGACAGCTAAGATGTTTCTCTGCAGGCAGCTTTTGTTCAAAGGACCTTGAGCACTCCCTGTGTGTTTCTCAGGTTCTTTTGTGCCTCTGCAGCCTGGCGGTTGGCGTGGCTCAACTGGATCTCTATTTCATTCAGGTCTCCCTCCATCTTCTTCTTCAGCCTTAAGGATTCACTTCTGCTCTTGTTGGTCAATCTCCTCATCTTTCTCTGCTATCTTTCTGTCAATCTCAGACTTTACCTGGTTGAGCTCAAGCTGGAGGCGCAGGATCTTTCCCTCTTCGTGTTCCAGGGAAGCCTGAAAAAAAGATAAGAATAAGTTAATTGTATAAATAACAACATCAGTAACCTTACATGAAGGTTATTATTCTTTTGAAGAATTATGTACAGCATGAGGTCTGAGACTGCAGGAAAAGGAAAGGAGGATTCTTGTGTACCCAGAGATTTAATGGTGTCCAAAATCCTCTGCTTCCTGTTCCTGTGGTTTATCTTCAATGCATAGAATTTCATAAATGTCTCTGAGGTTGCTAAACTGTTGCAAAACTAAATGACGTAAGTAAAGAATTAAGAACAGAAGACTGTACCTCAGCTTCCTCCAGAGCAGCCTGGATTTCAGATTTCTCCTGCTCAATCTGCTTCTTGACTTTCTCCAGCTCGTGAATCGCCTTTCCTCCCTCGGCAATCTGCTCCGTGAGGTCGGAAATCTCCTCTGCAAGGAAGGATGAAAAGTGGTATGGTGAATGGGGAAAGGCCCTGGTACACCAAGATGGCAGGCAGCTTTCTTATCACTGCAGGCCCAGATCCATTTAGCATGTCAGGTAGACAGACAAGATTGTGAGAAAGCCCAGCCAGGAGCAGAGGGCCA